ACAGACTGTATACAAAAGGAGAATTATTTCCAAAATGATAATAAAGATGTAAATATTAAGAAAATGCAATCTAATATACCGGAGTGAATAGATTAAATAAATTCCTTTCTGCTAATCTCTAAAAAGAACTTCTTTTATTGATGGATTATAAGTAGATATTGATGCAGCTATAAGAAATAAAGATTTCAAAAACCATTAAAATGACTTGAATTTTTTTATTGAATTCCTTGATTTAATCTTTGCGGTTTCTCTCCACTGATATCACATACACACTAACACAATATACAGTGATAGTAAATTTACAATGAAAATCACGTCTTCCAAAAATGGCAATTTGTAGATTTGCAGATATCACAAAATTAAAACAAAATGAAGGGGGCTTCATGTCAAAATAAATAATTTTTTTTGTTTTTACAAAAACACTGATTTTATTTTCAAGTCCAGTGTTGGTTCATTTAGAAATTTCTCCTTAATTACTTTCCAATAATTAATTTGGACCAACAAATTTGAGAAAGACTCAATTCTATATTTACACTGTCTATATTTTTGTGATGAGTTATTGTAATTATTTACGCTATTTACATTCTTTTCACTGCCGTCCTCATCTTTTTTGCGATATGGCAAATATGGCAAAAAAAGATGAGAACAACAGTCCTAAGAACGCAAATAGTGTAAATAATTACAATACCTCATCTCTGAAATATAGACAGAATTACAGAATTACTTTAATTACAATTACATGACAATTATAATTACAGAATTAAAATAAGAGAACCTAAAGTACTAATCTCAAGTTTGTTGCTAATTTTTTAAAGGTCACTTCAATGTGAGCACACACACACACACACACACACACATATATATATATATACTTATGAGGTGGGGTGCTGAAAAGTTTCTGGATAAATCCACTTCTTGAGATCTAACCAAACAACTAAATATCAAATTTTTATTTTTTAAGAAGTGCCTCTCATCTAAGCTTTTTTTGTTTTAATAATTTCACTCCAAGCAAGGCAATAAAGCCACTAATATGCAAGGGGTTAATGAGTGTGAGAGAATATGCAAAATAAAAGAGAAAAATTATTAAGGAGAAGGAACAATAAAAGATCAGGAATTAATAAAACAGAAGGTAATGGTTGACATTGCCTTTAAATTTTTGAAGATCAAATGCAGAAATTTGTGAATGCAGAAAGCTGGAAGAGAGTCTCACAAGTGAGAAATGTGAGAGGAGAAACAGTTAGTAAAAACTTACGGTTACATCTAGCAATTTCAACTGAAAATGATATAGCCTTTCCACCAATCTAGTACTGTGCTTAAATTAATAAAGTCTAGATAACATACAGGAAAGTTCGTCAGAACAATTGCCATGAAAATATTTAAAGAAAAGGCAAAGGGAAGCTATGCTACGTTTGGGAAGTGATTGAAGCAGAGATGCATGATCAGGACCAATAATATTGCATATTCTTCTTTGAAAGCTAAAAACCTGTCAGTACCCACATGTTTTTTTTTATATACATCATATATTTTTGATTAAGGGTATATTATTAAATTTTAATTTTCTTAGGTTGATTTTTAATATTGTCATAGTGACAGCAACAGTATGTGTGAATATATTTCCAAAGTGGTTGTGCTCCATTTCTGTAAACATTACAAACCACTAGATACATCTATTAGATACAACCCAACTTCAAACTCCAGGATAGTCTATTGCATTCACTTTCATATAATTTCCCTCTTTCTATTTTTTCATTCCCAAGCTAACATATAAATAGCAGGGAAGACTTGGGCAGCAACTAGAAGGAAAACCATGAATTCAAAAACTTTAAATCCAAACTGTGGAGAAAATAAAAGCGAACAAGTCCGCCATGTGTCTCAAGAAGGTCTGGCGATTCACAGTTGAAAAAGTAATCTGTGGAGAGGCATGATTTCCAATGTGCTGAAGGACATGCCATGTCAAAAAAGGAAAAAAAAATGACCAAATGTGAGAAAGTTAAACATAATTTAAGTTCGAAAATACCCAGTATGTGCAAACACTTTCCTTCTTCTAAGTACAACCATCCAACTGTATAGATTATCCTTCAATAAAATTTAATTCACCAAGGCTCAATTTGTCTTAAATAATAAAATGGTGAACATCTTTCGTTTGACAAACTTTCTGCTCAAGGGAATTAATTTGCGATATATGAGTTATCTCCCTTTATGAATTATGAAGTAACAAACACATTCGTTCTTCCTTCTGTGATTTTGTACCATACCATATATTTACTGCTGTCGATTGATGAGCCGTGTAAAGTTGCAATAAAAAGTAACTAAAAAGCTAAAATCAAAGTAAATATTAAATTAAATTGATAATTGGTGAAAATGTTTCATTTAATTAAAAAATACTACTACTGCTACTGAGCGTATTATTCTTCAAAGAACAATTTTAAAAAATATGATGTTGATAAAAAAAAAAATAAATATAATAAATTTTTCTTTTTTATTATATCAACTAGGTAACTAAAGAAAAGTTTAGTAAAATTGATCTATTTGCTATCTCTCTTAATCCCTGTTCTGCCAACCATTTACCAAAGCTTGTAGGTACATAGTCGATGTTTTCACTTGCCTTTATTGTCTGGGAGTGTCAAAATATCTGAGCCTACTTTTCTCATTATGTGCCCTAAAATTTCCAACTATGTTTTTCTGACCGGAAGTAAGTGTTCTTTTCGTTTCCATTTTCTTTAAGACTTCTTAGTTCTTAAAAAAAAAAGACAAAATAAAAAAAACAACAAAAATTCACATGTGAAGATATTTGGAAAAAAATACAATAAAATGTAAACCTGTTGCACCAAATTGAAGCATGATGAAACGATATATGAAAGCTACCAAGAAACACAAGGCATAACTCCCTTATTAATCTGCCTACAAATTCTTTGATAATGGTTTTTGAAAGCTGGAAGCACTCAGAAAATATTATGCAATTTATGTTCAGCTTTAGCCTGAAAATTAAAAAAAAATGTTGTTAGAAGTGAAGAAAAGAAATTATTTAAAAAATCATAAACACAGAACGTTCATTGTTTTTTTTATCCAATTCTCTAAGACTAACATGTGAATAACAAGGGATTCGATTTTTTTTAGAAAAAAAAGTAACGACAAGGAGACTTACATTCAGAAAGAGACAGTTGAAATTTCTAGCACACATAATGAGGAAAGTTTGGTCTGATTTGGTGTGTTGTGTTTTGTTTTGTTTTATGGCACATCAACCTCAAATGGGTTATTTAAGGCCGACAAAATTTTTATTGCTGGTAATATTTTATTTCAAAAATGTATTGCTGGAAATAATTTTTTTAACAAAGTATTTCTGGTATTAAAACCTATTTTTACACTTTCATAGTATTTTGACCCTAGTGTGGTGGGTGAACTATTTGCCCATAGCTGGGACCTTAACAGGTGCTACCACCCCGGGTCAGGGTGGACCTGGGAACACCAGCAATTAAGAGGTGGTTTCACTCTCCTCAAAACCTCCTGATCAGAGGCCTTGCTGTTGGATATAGTTTATCGTCTTACCCAGGACGTGGATGTAGTTTATCGTCATACCCAGGACGTTAATGAGGAAAGAAGCCTTGTGAATTTAACACTCATGGGTTTAACATTTTCCATTGAAATAAATTGCAAGAATTATATTTTTTAATCAACTGCTAAGTGTCCTGTTACGAAAGTTGTTTCACTGTGTCTTGCTAGACAATTTTTCGCGACAGAATCTACTTTACATTATAATGATTGTGCTTGCCTCTCTCTTTGTTAGTTCACATGACCGTTACACTCTGCCATTACTTCGTTTTGATTGCGTGGAAAGAGGGGGAAAGACACTGCTTGGTTTCAGTGAAAGAAAGAATGAAGATAGAAGTGTTTAATGGCTGTTTCAGTGAAATGGGAAAAGTTGTTAATTTCAAATCTTTTTTTTTTTTGTACCGCCTTACTTCTTAAAATAACGACGAACATTCATATTAATGGTTGTTATTGCAATATTTTGATGAAGTTGTTAAGCTAAAATATTTAACTATATGACAGGGAAATTTCTATGGATATTTTACTGTCAAAGAAATCACCATGAGTTCATGCAAACATTCACTTAAGAATTAAGATTTATCAGAAAATTCAAATAGGAAAACCATGAAAATTTCATGGATCTTTTTAGTATTTATAATTCTATCATTAGTCCTTGTTTTGAATGTTGCTGCCACATTTGGTCTGGCGATTCTGCTAAATATCTAGAAACTAGCAGTATAATCCGTCTTTGACCGGGTCTTTCACTGTTGGGAATTTTTGCCGTTCAATTGGAGCAGTTTAAGTTTAAAGTCAACCCACCCGAAAATCAATATTAGTAACAACAATTGGGTGCAACTGAGGCACATCCCCAAATGGAGGGCGTTAACAATTTGAATTGAGGTGGGGGTGACCCTGAAAAGGGAACTGTATAATAATAATATTATTGTAATAATTTAAGTTATTTATTTTTTATTAAAGTTTTTATGAAAGATATATATTCAAGAACAGATGGTAAATAGTAAAACGTTGCTGGACAGGAAGTAATGGAGAACCATTGTCACCAACAATTTGGACTCAAAACCGGTAGTGAAGAATTATCTATCAAACAAAAAAAAAATCTTCGAAATCGGATGAAAACTGTGGAAATGGATAAACAACATTTGATCGCATGCATAAATACACACACACTTTTAGAATTATAGATTCTTGACAAAATCCAAAGAAAGTTCCGAGTTGGTATGTCAGCTTCAGTCACTTCCCCACCTCCATAATGTAACTTCCCTGTGCCTTTTCTATAAATATTTCCTCCTTGAATTTAAGTGTAGGAATAGACTGGTTTCTTGTCTTGCACTTCTTGCCTTTGGAACTTTCTCTCGGCTTCTTGCTTTCCTGTCAATTATGATCTTGAAAAATAAAATGCAACATCAATCGTCATCTTTTACTTCCTTAAATACTATCTCCAGTAAACCATGTCATGTTGAAACACCAGTTTTCATATAATCACTGAAGTTGAGCGATGTTGAGCCTGGTCAGTACCTAGATGGGTGACCACCTGAAAATACTTGGGGCTGTAAGCTTGGATGTGCAGTGGGTTTAATAGATAACGGTTCGGAATTGAAAATCAGAGAGCTGAGTTCCAATACCAATCAGGTTTGTTATAGTAATGAACACACAAATACCTTTAGGAAAGATATGAACCCACCTCTTCTCCTCCACAAATATGGGTTAATTAGTAGAATTTGTGCCAGTAAATTATTATTATCTCAAAAAAAAAAAAATCTTACAATGTAAAAATATTTTCCGACTTTAAATAACCTGTTAATGTTTGACAAGCCGGAGAAAATTAAATCAATCAATCAAGTTCTCCTCAATACCATTTTCTCAGTTTCTTTCACAACGATTATAAAAAAAAGAGAAGCAAGGGGAAACAGTGAGTAGCCTGCTTAACGAATAAGAGTAAATGGATGGCAGAATACAAAGAGGGATTGTGCAGAAAAATTAAAGACAGGAAACTATGGAGAACCATGATTGCCCATGTACTGAATGGATTTGGCACATGCAGGAAGAAGAGGAAAGATTTTTCTAAAAAGATATACTGAAAATCAGGTAAAAGAGAATTGATAATAATCAGGAATTGATGTAAGCGTTACTAACAGCTTTACAAGAATAACCGGTTTCTTCTGGAGAAATATTTCCAAAATTTCACTTAATTTATTTGCAAAAGATAGAAATAAAGAATTTATTGAAACCAGGAGAAGTTATATTCTCTATTCAATATTATCGTGTAAAATAAAAAATATATAAGCCTTGAAATTTTCACTTAACATATTGCATCCTTCTTTAATGACTGGATTTCGATTAAAAGAAATTGGTTGAATATTGTTTCCGTAAGGCAATAAAAACGAATCCATTATCATCGAAATTCAATCTAAGGGAAACAACTGAAACTCAGACGCCGATATTTTCCAAGGGAAATAACTGGAGAAATATTTGTTAAAATTACTTCCCTTTACAAATTCTGCCCAGTAATAATGCTAACGTTAATGTAATATAGATGGATAGTGGCTTTCTTAGTGTAGCTTCGATGTGACACAAGGCCGAAAGTATGTGGTACCCATTGAGGACTGAACTCAGTATTCAGTCATAATTTACCTAGTGGGATAAGTTTACACTGATCATCTGAGTAAATTGCGATAAAGAGAAATTAAAATGAAGATGAAAGAAATCCTGTTTAAAAAGTAATTATGGCTGTCGGTGATTCATTTAATAATAGAAAAAAAAATTTTTCATAGCAAATAAAAGTGTCTCCTGAAATATTCATACCAGTGAGAATTTTTCAACTTACTAAATGAACATGATGGTTCAAATAAACAAGAATTTTTATATCAAGATTATGGTTCAGATAATAGTACCTGGGAAATTGAGGGAAAAGTAATTTATAAAAGCATTTTATAAGGAAATTTTTAAAAATATCAACAAATGTCATGTCTACAGAGGTGAATCACCAATATTTCTCCTGTATTGTATTTTTAAGGAGAAAATTACACTCAGGCAGCTTCTATCCCTGAGAACTGCTACTTAGTGGAACAAAGATCTACATGGATGCTTCCCTGAATGTTACAATCTTTACCTATGTTACAATCTTTACCTAAGTCAAGAGTTTATCATAATCTGTCGTCTTTATCCTTGTAATCTTAACTTCCTTCTGTTATGCTACTGTTATATTCATATCACACACCTCATTCAGTAATACTCCATCATGAGTGGCTCTTCAGTTACGGCCACATCATGTTGAAACACCAGTTTTTGTGTGATCACCGAAGTTAAGTAACATTGAGCCTGGTCATTGCCTAGATGGGTGACTGCTTGGGAATACGAGGTCTTACAAATATGGATGTGCCGGTTGTCTAATGAATAATGGCTTGGAATTTTTGATCTGAGAGCTTTGTTCGAATTCTAGTTGGTTTCATTACATTCACTTAAAAAAAGGAAAACTTTACTTCACTTTTAAAAGGAAAACTTTTTTTTTTTTTAAATGTTCATCTTCAACAAATAAAATTAAAATGTGAAACAGAGTCCAAGGGAGACAACTACTGGACACATAAGGCACGTGACACTTCTGAAAGGGAATGCAGTACTATGAAAGAAAATAATCATTGTAACGGCCATAGAAATGCTAATGTCTATTATGGCTGCTCGTTGACACTTGTTGACTGTTATACAAATACTCTTGGGAAGGGTATGAATCCACCTGATCTCCCTCCAGCTATGGGCTAGTTTGTAAGACTTGTATTACTTAAACCATTATTATCTCCCTCCACCCCTTAAAAAAGAGTCTTGAGCCTTGTATTGAAGGAAGTTTAGTATTTTTTAAAAAAGTATTCAAAAATAATAAGCATGCTGTACAAAATAAGCACTGTATGAGAGGTTGGGATGAAAGAAAATAATTTAATCATGCTGACACTTGTATTTAGTACACATGAATCATTAAAATTTAAACTCATGTAAATAATGAAAAAATTAAAAAAGGGAAGGTGAAAATACTATAGAGTAATATATATATATATATATATATATATATATAAAAAAAATTTCTATTTTAAAATTGTACTTTTCAAGAGGTAAATATATATATATATATATATATATATATATATATATAATATATATATATTGGTGTATAATTGGAATGAATTTCCATTTCAATAACCAACAATTACTATTTTTTTTTCATAAAGGGCTGTGGAGATGTTCCTGTCTCGTCACTTTTTTGTGTGTATATATATCTAAATATGTCTGGGTGCTTATGTATTATAATCTGATTGTGTTTGTGTTGTTTTATGCGTGAGTTTAAGACCCCATTTATACACTTGGGATTAAAATCTATATACATGTATTGTCAGATGACCAGATATTGTAGTGTCTGTTCTAACATAATTTCAACAAAGAAATAAATTGAATAACAGATGTATTTTTTCTTTTCTCCTCAGTAATTTTATAGTTTTTAAACTTAATAGTGATTAAATTTGGATTTTAAAATTGGCAGTTTTTAATTTTAATATCAAATTTTATCATATAATTTAATAATTATTGGTAAGAATAAATTCTTTTTAATATTACCCGTATTTTAAAGATCTGAATAGCTATTATAACATGATTTCATTGTCAAGCTTTTAAATCTTCCTATACTTGGATTTTGATTGGTCATTCTAGCTTTTGTAACAATGTTTTCCCCTAGCGAAGGATCGTTAATTAATTTGAAACTTTTAAAACCATTTATTTTATATTCAACATCATCACTTGATAAGACACGGAGGGTGTTGAAACAAAATGGCTATTTTCGTAGTGATTTTATAACATATTTATGTTATAAATGTTTTTTTTACAAAAAATAATTATATATATATATATATATATATATATATGTATGTATAAATAATTTCACTCCAAGGAAAGTAATAAAGCCACTAAGATGCAAAAGGGTTATTGAGAGTGAGAGAATATGAGAAAACTACACTATTAAGGAGAGAAAAAAATAAAGAACATGAATTAAGAAGACAGAAGATAACGATTGACATTGTATTTAAATTCTTTTAACATCAAAGTTCACAGGAAAGCAAGATGATGGAAGAGACTTCCACAAGCAAGAAGTGCAAGAGAAGCAAGAGTTAACATAAAACTTACAGTTACATGAAAGAATCATCAGCCGTAAAATGATGAGACCTTGCTTACTGATCATGTTCTGCAATTAAATTCATAAAGTCTAGGTATCGTGGAGGAAAGTTTATCAGCACATTTATCATGAAAGTATTTATAGAAAAGGCACAGGGAAGCTACATTGCGGCAGTAGTAAAGTGCCTGAAGATGCCAGGTCAGGACAAATAACATTGCAGGTTCTTCTTTGGATTTTATAAGAATCTCTAAAATATATATATCTGTTTCAGATTCTTGTGTGTTTAGTACATTGTAAACAATGAAGAATGTCCTGAACAAGATTAACTTTGGAGTGCCACATCAGTGATAAATATATATGTAATAAATTTGGGCATGTAATCCTGACTGAGTTATAAGTTGTTGTCATTTAAAAAAATGTTCAGGAAAGAATCAGGTATTATGAAAGTATGTTTTGAAAATAATACCCAATAATTCTTTCATGAATGTTTTTCCAAATGTCTATATATATATATATATATATATATATATTTTTTTTTCTCTATGTAGTTGCCTGAAAATGACAAGTGCATGACAACTGAATAGCATTGGGTGTTGATTGTGAAGTATTTTTTGCTCTGTCTAGATAATCTAGGTATTGAGCATTTTAATCTAGTGTGTAGGTAGATGTTTACCTTTTGGTCTTATTTCTTACCACCTTGTTCAGGATTTTTTTCTTGTCTAAGGTATTAGGTCTTTTGGCAAGTTGCTATTGGCCACACCAGCATTGTTGTGTTATATATATATATATATATATATATATATACAGGTAAAATGAGAACAAATGGAGTTTAATTCCACTGTAAATAACAGTTAATTTAAAGAGGGCTCAATACAGTGTAGCTGTGTAGTGATTTTTAACATATTTTCGTTTTAATATCCTAAAATAAATATATATATATATATATATATATATATATATATATATATATATATATATATATATATATATATATATATATATGTCTCATTAAATAATATAGACAAGTCATTTGTCTATTTATTTTATGTAAATTTTTTCATAACGTCTGATAAGCAATAATCTTAAGCTTAACAGATGTTATGAAAAGAATTTACATAAAATAAATAGACAACACTTGTCTATATTATTTAATGAGACATGTATGAATGAAAAAATGCTGCCTAAATACACACAATATATATATATATATATATATATATGTATGTATGTATGTATGTGTGTGTGTGTGTGTGTGTTTACCTATGGATATTCAATAAATTAAGAAAACTTCATGGGATTTATCTGGTTAATGACTCAAATGTTAATCGGGGCCAGATGTTTGCTAAATCTATTGAACATATTATCAGTTGTCATATTTATAGTCTTTTCTGAATGAATGAAT